GCGGGCTCTGGCGGTGCGGCACTCAGGGGGAGGTGGTGCGGCGCGGCACTCGGCGGGGGGGGCGGCGCTTTTTTTGCTGCTTGGGGCAGCAAAAAACTTAGAGCCGGCCCTGCTCACAGTGACCGGCAGGCCGCCCCCGGCAGCTTGCCGCCCCAGGCACGCGCTTAGTGCGCTGGTGCCTGGAGCCGCCCCTGGTTTCTGGCTACCCACTCTGGGGATCAGACTCCCAGCTGCAGGGTAGATGTACCATATGTATCTGATCCAAACTGAGAAAGTCAATGGAAAGACTCCTATTGATTTCAATGGTATTGGATCAGATCCTATCTCATTATACATTTCTTGTCCATTGGTTACACTTTTAATCTCTTTCTCTTTACTATTGTAGCACTCCAAAGCAGTTTGGGAGAGAGCTGTTGTGAACAACACTGCACAACATGTGTTCCTTCCCTGGTGTACTATCTTAGGGGATGTGCTAAGACTCTCGGGAACAAGAGCAGGTTCAGGACTCTTTAGCTCAACTCAAGTGTGAGTGGCCATTTTGTCTCCACCCATCCCCATGCTGGTTCTGCTCTACATGGGAGGCGGTAAGCCGGGGTTTGGCTTTCAGAGTAATTACTGAACTTGGCAATGTGCGGTCAGTTGAGCCTTTCCAATTAAAAACGGCTGGTCTGGAGAACGAGTCACTCTCTGAAGAAGGGTCAAGGTCTGAATAGGGAATGAAACTAAATCCTCCTCTTGCCCCCTATTCAGGTGGTCTCTCTAGGTCTGCATTTAAACACATGGGCCAGATGCAGTCCCGGACTGCGATGCTAGGAGGTCCACTCTCCATTCGGGGACCGGTGGAGCCAATGCTGCCCTAGCACAGATGAGGGCTGGCCTCACTTGCACCCCTAAAGTAGTGGCCCCTGTTGGGCTTTTCAGGGATGTAAGAACACCAGGGCCGTGCCTGGTCTCTGACTCCACCCCACCCTGCAACAGGCCCTGCATCTGGGCTTGCTGCAGGGGTGGCACGCAGCTGGTTACGTGCCTGGGCATAGAGCCTCCATGCGCTGGCGATATACCCTAGGGGGATTTGAGCCTGCTCGGTGGCTCATTTGCATGAGTCTAGCCGGCACAAAGGCACTGGAGGGCGGTGATGAATCAGTCCCATAGGCAGGGCAACAGGGGGAAATTTGCTCTGCCACCAGTTGCTTTCAGGGGCTTTCAGTCTGACACCTCTCTCACTAACATTGTATTCGTGCCCTCCCTCACATATGCACCATGCAATCAATGGATAGTCATCTGCCTGTCGCCCGCCCACAAAACACACCAAGAAGGAAACTGCCGCTTTCTAAAAGTCGAGGATATTATTATTAAAAAAAAAGAAGAAGACGTAGGCAGCCCCCGGTGTTGTACCAATTCCTCCGGGACTGAAGGAATCCTTTGCCCCTGTGATTCATACTGAGCTGTACAGTCCATCCGGCGGTGGCTGTGTCAGGCAGCCACGCACTGATAAATGGGTGCTGGCTTCTGGCTGCTGCTGGCACAAGAGGCTGCAGTGTTTTCAGTCTCTTTGATTACTCAGGGCACTGATACTTCCTCTGGCATTTGTTTGTCTGCAGGAAGTGTGTGTGTGTGTGTGTGTGTGTGTGTGTGTGTGTGTGTGTGTGTGTGTGTGTGTGTGTGTGTGTG